TTGTCAATCATTCTTGTTGCCATAATCTTGGTTTTTTTGATGTTTAGCTGCAACCCGGCTTTTGCGCTTTCTTCTTTCACCTTGATTAGAAGGCTCCTCAGCTCCTCCTCACTTTCGGCCATCAGGGTGGTGTCATCTGCATATCTGAGGTTGTTAATGTTTCTTCCAGCAATTTTCACCCCATTAATTTAATTTAATTGGAGCCTAATTAATCCCAGTGTTCTCTTGACAAAATCCTCACTAAAATGTGTACGCACAAACAACAACAATACATCCTGTGATATAAAATCAAAGTTTTTAACATTCAAGAGCTATGACATATGATGTGATGGCCTGGCATAGACATTTTACTTATTTTTCTACTCATTTGTGGTTCTGAGTGGGATCCTAGAATGATTTACTTCTCGAATACAGTTATTTCATGGTCATGGGATTCATTTATATTTCCAGAAACGTATCTCTATATCATTTTATCAAAAGACAAATGCAGAACAGAACAGAAACTGGTTGTACAATTATTAATCAGCAACAATATGGGTACATGTACATTGCAACAGTAGATAATGACATTTTTTTTTCCAGAGCTGAGAGTCAATGCTGGTTTTTCACTTTAATAAGCAGCATTCCAATTACATGGATTTCCCACAGACTTTGCTCCCAAGATGAGTAGAATGCATGAGAAATAAGAAAAGCCTGTTGTTTTGGTACCCATCAAAGCTTCCTTCCATGTGAGGAAATGGCTAATTTGTCATTTCACACTCAAAAAGGCATGAAAAGCAAATGGTGTATCTGGGTTGGGGGCAGCGGGGAAGACAAGACAGGAAAGGAAAACCAAAGGATGGGAGGGTTGTTAGTAAGAAGGCAAGGTAGGGTCGGGACAGCTTGAAAAATAAGATGAGATGCTAGGCTTGTTTGATCTTATATCTGGCACTATAAACCAGGTTCACTGAAGCTGACAAAAAATACCCAAAGGTTAAGCTGGTGTAAATCAGTCTGGCATCTGACCCAGCTTTCCACTTAGTCAGGATGACGGTGTGTTCATGTCCCTTTGCCTGGGAGGAAAAAGCCATTGGATTGAACAGGACATATTTTTGAAAAGATATCTACATCCATCGAAGAACAAACAAGTTAAAATTAAAACAATTTCTTTTTTAAAAAAGTAAAGCGGCCCATCTCCAACTTGCACATTATTTACACATGGACTTTGTTGTCATTTTATTTTTGTAAAAAATATAAAACATTAATTCTAACAATGCACCACTGTCTCTAAAATACACAAGACCTTTGCACAAAGAATACATAGCGGAGTAAAAGTCTGTTTCCCCTATTGCTCCCCTCTGGTGAGTTTAATTTGTGTTTCTTTTTGTGTCAAAGAAGCAAATGCAAAGCAGCAATGGATTTAAAGTAGGAACAAGGTGAGATGAGACATGGATGAGGAGGGAGATTTTCAGAGATAGATAGAAAAGGTTCTGGCACAAATCCCATTACTTATAAAAAGGATTTTCACGTCTACCTCCATTTGCCTCTTAGAAATGTAGGGTTGTTTTGGCAGATCACATTTGAGACAACATGCAATCTCAGGCAATTATCTTCAAACTTGGTTGTTGTGGGTTTTCCAGGCTAGAACATGGCCATATAGCCCGGAAAACCTACAACAACCAAGTGATTCCGGCCATGAAAGCCTTCGACAATACATCTTCAAACTTGTTGCTATTTATAGACTGATGAACAAAATTCTACCTTTCTTCCCATAATGTCAAGGTTACATTTGCTTTTTATGAATAAACTAGCCGTCCCCTGCCACGCGTTGCTGTGGCCCAGTCTGGTAATCTGGAAAATAAAGTAATGAGGAAGTCTTGGTTTCTAATATATGTAATTCCTTTATGCTTGAGGGTAAACAGTATTTCTTGTTGTTTCTTTGCCAGTGTTGATGTGGAGAGTGTCTGGTTTGCCTACTCTGGAACATGCAACATATCACTGACCTTCTTTAAGGATCCCTTTTAAATCTAGGATACTATATCTCTTTGTGTGTGAATCATATATATCTATCTATACCTATGGCTGGGTGGCTCTTTGTCAGGAGGGCTTTGTTTATTTTTTCTTGCCCTGGTGAAGGAAATTGGACTGGATGGCCTTAAGTATTTTCTGTTGGTCATGGGGGTTCTGTGTGGGAAGTTTGCCCCAATTCTGTCATTCATGGGGTTCAGAATGCTCTTTGATTGTAGGTGAACTATAAATCCCAGTAACTACAACTCCCAAATGTCAAGGTCTATTTTCCCCAAACCCCATCTGTGTTCATATTCGTGCATATTGAGGACTCGTGCCAAGTTTGGTCCAGATCCATCATTGTTTGAGTCCACAGTGCTGCCTGAGTGTCAGTGAACTACAACTCCTAAACTCAAGGTCAATGCTCACCAATCCCTTCTACTGGTTTCTGTTGGTCATTGGAGTCCTGTGTGCAGAGGCGGCTCTAGGTAATTTTCAACGGTAAGCAAACAGTATTTTGGCACCCTCCCCCCCCCCAACCAATCACTGATATATATTTTCTGTTCGTTGTGGGAGTTCTGTGTGCCATATTTGGTTCAATTCCATCATTGGTGGAGTTCAGAATGCTCTTTGATTGTAGGTGAACTATACATCCCAGTAACTATAACTCGCATATTGCAAGGTCTATTTCCCCCCAAGAGTGCCTCAAGAGCGCCCCTGGGCAAAATCAACTATACTGCAAATGCTTACTTTGCCTAATGGATTGAGCCGCCCCTGCCTGTGTGCCAAGTTTAGTTCACTTCCATCATTGGTGGAGCTCAGAATGTTCTTTGATTGTAGGTGAACTATAAATCCCATTAACTACAACTCCCAAATGTCAAAGTCTATTTCCCTCAAACTGTTATCTTGTCTGTCTTGTTTGTCATTTGTATATGTATTATGTGTCACTGTTATATGTTTATTATTGATACAAAATCAATAAAACTAATTAAAAAAAACTGTGTTAATATTTGTACATATTGAGGATTCATGCCAAGTTTGGTCCAGATCCGTCATTGTTTGCGTCCACAGTGCTGTCTGGGTGTAGGTGAACAACTCCCAAACTCAAGGTCAATGCCTACCAAACACTTCTAGTGTTTTCTGTTGGTCATGGGAGTCCTGTGTGCCAAGTTTGGTTGACTTCCATCATTGGTGGAGTTCAGAATGTTCTTTGATTGTAGGTGAACTATAAATCCCAGTAACTACAACTCCCAAATGTCAAGGTCTATTTCCCGCAAACTCCATCTGTGTTAATATTTGTGCATATTGAGGATTCATGCCAAGTTTGGTCCAGATCCATCATTGTTTGAGTCCACAGTGCTGTCCACTTCATGCCAAGTTTGGTTGACTTCCATCATTGCTGGAGTTCAGAATGTTCTTTGATTGTAGGTGAACTATAAATCCCAGTAACTACAACTCCCAAATGTCAAGGTCTATTTCCCTCAAACTCCATCTGTGTTAATATTGTGTTGGTCATGGGAGTCCTGTGTGACAAGTTTGGTTGACTTCCATCATTGGTGGAGTTCAGAATGCCCTTTGATTGTAGGTGAACTATAAATCCCAGAAACTACAGCTCCCAAATGTCAAGGTCTATTTCCCTTAAACTCCATCTGTGTTAATATTGTGTTGGTCATGGGAGTCCTGTGTTGGCCATGGGAGTCCTGTGTGCCAAGTTTAGTTCACTTCCATCATTGATGGAGTTCAGAATGCCCTTTGATTGTAGGTGAACTATAAATTCCAGCGACTACAACTCCCAAATGACAAAATCAATTTTTTTGAGTGATGGTCACTCCTTGGGTTAGTGAGTGTCTTGTGTCCAAATTTGGAGGCAATTCATCCAGTGGTTTTTGTGTTATGTTAATTCCACAAACGAACATTACATTTTTATTTATATAGATGAGTGCCACTGTCCAATTTAGAGAATGACTGGCTTTATCCTTGCTGGCCAGGAAATGCACATATGCAGTTGCATGCGCTGAACTACAGTGTGAAAATAACTACAGAAAGAAAGAATTTCTGATGGTCTCCTCATTTTACCAAGCATCAACATTTAACAGCCTATCTTTTGGTCTATTGGGTTGTTGTAGGTTTTTCCGGGCTATATGGCCATGTTCTAGAGGCATTCTCTCCTGACGTTTCGCCTGCATCTATGGCAAGCATCCTCAGAGGTAGTGAGGTCTGTTGGAAGTAGGTGGTTTGTATGTTGTGTTTCCTCATCAGCTTCCCTATGCAGTCAGTGGTTCCCTTGATGTATGGCAAGAACACTTTTCCTCTGGTTCAGTTCATCTTGGAGGAGGTGGGGTTCGCAGATTCGCAGACCGCATAGGGAAGCTGATGAGGAAACACAACATACAAACCACCTACAGACCCACCAAGAAAATCCAACAAATGCTACGTTCAGCAAAGGACAAAAGGGATCCTCTCACCTCTGCAGGAGTCTACCATACCATGCAGCTGTGGACAAGTCTACATAGGGACCACCAAACGCAGCATTGCCAAAACACGAATCAAGGAACATGAAAGGCACTGCAGAGTACTTCAACCAGAGAAGTCAGCCATAGCAGAGCACCTGATGAACCAACCTGGACACAGCATATTATTTGAGAACACAGAAATGCTGGACCACTCTCACAACCACCATGTCAGACTACACAGAGAAGCCATTGAAATCCACAAGCATGTGGACAATTTCAACAGAAAGGAAGAAACCATGAAAATGAACAAAATCTGGCTACCAGAATTAAAAAACTCAAAAATTACAACAGCAAAACAACAGAGAGTAAACAATCAGGCACATCAAATCACTCTCAACAAAAGATTCCCCCCAGGCACTTCCAAGCCATTAAATGCTAATCAAGGTGGTCAGTTGAAACATTCACACCTAGCTCCAGCAGAAAAAAGTCCTTTGTCCCACCCTGCTCATTCTGCAGATATATAAACCCATTTTCCTACTTCCAACAGACCTCACTACCTCTGAGGATGCTTGCTATAGATGCAGGCGAAACGTCAGGAGAAAATGCCTCAAGAACATGGCCATATAGCCCGGAAAAACCTACAACAACCCAGTGATTCCGGCCATGAAAGCCTTCAACAATACCTTTTGTCTATAGTTTTAGCTTTCTTTTTTAATGGACCCTCATACATTTTGTTACTACATCCAACCTACTTTCAAATGTAGATGTTTCTCACCAGCTATTGAGTTCATGCATGGCCTATGTTTTTACAACAGGGGAAAATACCTTTCAAAACTTTACATAAACTAACTCTTCAGAGCCTGAGATGTGAACAGAGTGATCTCAACCCAATCTAAAAGCTACTGAACAGCATACAGATTCTTTGAAAACTTCCAAGTGATAGTGTACTCTTTCATGGGAGTCTCATATATATTAAGGACTGTGCATTAGTGGGTCTTTTTGAGAAGCAACATCGATAGGAAGGATCCATAAAATGGAACAAAAGTATTTTTTTCACTTTCAAACAAGTCCTCTTTTTAAATAAAATATGCAAACTATCTAGACTCAGCCCTAGTGTGTGGGCTTGCAGGTTGGTGATGCCTCCTGTTTCGTTTTTTCTTTATTTCTTGGACGTGTTTCCATTTTGGTCCACCTTTGTTACGCTGCCGTTTCTTTTCCCGATGCCACATCTGCTCACAGTATTCATCCAGACTGAAGCTGGGACTGCTGAGAAGCTGGATATAATCTTTGTACCTCAGTTGGGACTCAACTTGCAGATCCCGTGACCGTCCTTCTTCATCGTCTGTTTTCTGAGAGTTTTCCATCTGTCCGTTCTCAATGACATTTAGATTTAATTTCATTATGGTTTGGACAAATGTATGTTCTTGGGCTTTACAATAATACGCTCCTGTGTCCTTTCTTTGCAAGCTGCGAATCAACAGTCCATATTCTGTCTTGATGATTCTTTCATCAGGCTTCACCTTTAAGTAGAAAAACAATAAAGAATGGAGTAAAGATATGCATTCACACTTATGATACAGCAAATATCCTAAGTAGAGATTGGATAGCTAAAATATTAACATACCAATGGAACATGGATCATGTGAAATTCAAAGTGCTGGTCTTGACCTATAAAACCCTATACGGCTCCGGTCCAGCGTACTTGTCCGAACGTATCTCCTTCTACATCCCACCTCGGAGCTTAAGATCGTCTGGGAAGGCCCTGCTTTCGACCCCGCCTTTGTCTCAAGCACGCTTGGCGGGGACGATGGACAGGGCCTTCTTGGTGATGGCCCCCTGACTGTGGAATTTGCTCCCTGGGGAAATTAGGTCATTGTCAGCCCTCCTCACTTTTAGAAAAAAGGTTAAAATGTGGCTGTGGGACCAGGCCTTTGGGCAATCAGGTTAAAGGACAATTGACTTGGCCACGGTGGTCCACGCTTTGGTTACATCCCGTTTAGACTACTGCAATGCTCTCTACGTGGGGTTGCCTCTGAAGACTGCCCGGAAGCTGCAGCTAGTCCAACGCTCGGCAGCCAGACTACTAACGGGTGCTGGGTACAGGGAGCACACCACTCCGCTGTTACACCAGCTCCACTGGCTGCCAATTAGCTTCCAAGCACAATTCAAAGTGCTGGTGTTAACCTATAAAGCCCTAAACGACTCCGGCCCTGTTTACCTCTCCGAACGTATTCTCCCCTATGAACCATCAAGATTATTAAGATCATCTGGAGAGGCCCTGCTCTCGGTCCCACCAGCCTCGCAAGCGCATCTGGTGGGGACGAGGGACAGGGCCTTCTCGATGGTGGCCCCGACTCTGGAACTCTCTCCCACTGGAGATCAGAACCGCCCCTTCTATCCTGACATTTAGGAAACAGGTGAAGACTTGGTTATGGAGACAGGCATTCGACGAGTGAGCCAGATATGGATGGAGGATGATGAACAACGAGTTAGTGTGACGACTGACCATTGTAGTTATTGAATGTAATTGCTGTTTTAATGTTTTAGTGTAAAATGAATTATGTTTTTATTAACTGTATGTGATATTATGGTTGGAAACCGGTCTGAGTCCCTCAAGAGAGGTGAGAAGGCCGTTATATAAAACTTTCAAATAAATAAATAATGTTTGACTATGGCATGGAAGAGGATTTGGATAAGTTAAGCGGAGTATTCATTCGTAGATGGCTAGCTAAACAGCTACCAGATGGGCAATAGCTAATCAGAGTGTAAGTATACTGTTTTAATCTTTATTTATTAATGTTCATGTTAATTGTTATATTTGTTATTCTGTATTTTGTATTTTATGATGCGGCATTATTGCCAATTGTAAGCCGCCCTGAGTCCCCCTAGGAGTTGAGAAGGGCAGGGTAGAAATGTTCGAAACAAACAAACAAATAAATAAATAAATAATAAATCTAGGGTGAATATGGTACTATGCAAGAAAATGGTGTCCAATTCTGGGCACCACAATTCAAGAGAGATATTGACAAGCTGGAATGTGTCCAGAGGAGGGTGACTAAAATGATCAAGGTTCTGGAGAACAAGGCCTATGAGGAGTGGCTTAAAGAGCTGGAAATATTTAGCCTGAAGAAGAGAAGGCTAAGAGGAGACATGACAGCCATGTATAAATATACATGAGAGGAAGTCATAGGGAGGAGGAGCAAGCTTGTTTTTTGCTGCCCTGGAGACTAAGACGTGGAACAATGGCTTCAAACTACAAGAAAGGGGATTCCATCTGAATATTAGGAAGAACTTCCTGTGAGAGCCGTTCAGCAGTAGAACTCTCTGCCCCGGGCAGGCATGTAGCCAGAGGGGGGGCTTTGGGGGCTTCAGCCCCCCCCCCCCAAATTCTCAGGGTGGTTTGCAAAAAGGCCTTACTGGTACATTATTTAAACTGTTATGTTTATTCATATCATGATCTGATCACTATGCTCAATATATCCCATATGCATGGAGTTATTGGGGACAATGATACAAAGGGTTTGCTAGGGCAGACCCTCTTTCCCTCAGACTCAGCCCCCCCCCCCCCGAATCAAAATCCTGGCCATGGGCCTGGCCCTGGGGTGTGGTGGAGGCTCCTTCTTTGTAAGCTTTTGAACAGAGGCTAAATAGCCATCTGTCGGGGATGCTTTGAATGCAGTATTCCTGCTTCTTGGCAGGGGGTTGGACTGGATGGCCCATGAGGTCTCTTCCAACTCTATGATTCTGTGAAAATGTAATTCTGGTGAACATAGTTTAACATCCAACAAGTTGACACTCTAAATCCCAAGAATGGATGATTGCCACAAACTCACTGTCAGTTAGGGTTTATGATTTATGTAGGTATTTGTTTATCACCTCTTAACCAACCAGTGTACAACACTCAAGAGTAAAAAAAAAAAACCAGAACATTAAAATACTTAAAATCAGATATAGGGATCTTCCAGTTTCATCAAATAAATATGACTTCTTCCCAAATAGGTCCTTAAGCTGTGATGATTTTGAACAATTATTTTTATTTTCATGTCTACCAATTCTATTTTGCTGGGGGTTTTTTCCTTGAATTTCCATTAGTTGGAGGCTATTTAAATGGCGGTCTGTTTTGTTGAGTTAGTCCTATGACTTGAAGACTATTTTTTCTAGTCAGAATAATTTATTTCTTTTTAAAAAGTGTTATGGAGTTTTAGCACAAATATCCATTTCACTGATACATTGCTGTGCTATAGCACTATAACTTTGGAAGGAAGATATATTATTCTGATGTCTCAGGAAAAAAGAAACCCACAGTTGCCTGTCCCTTGTGGACAAGATTAAGGAAGCCATCAGTTGATTTAAAGCCTTGAAGCATTTGTTTGACTCATTGAAGATGTGAGAAATATCTGTTTAATTTGTTCAATAATAAAGGACTTTGTTTAACCTTTCAAGCCATCTAAAGACCATTTCTTCAGGAAAATCCTTGAGGGCCTCTTTTGTGGCGCCCTGGCATCCCACTGGGCACAAGGTGCACATCCAATTTCAAAAGACAATTATTACAGGCCGAGTGCATGACAGAACATGTTTGTTATTTTAAAAGCATGCTCTGGATTATTGTACTCTTGAACCTTCTGAACTGCAATTTGTGTCTAATCAATGAAAAAATTGCATTTTCTGCCCTACAGATTTCATGTATTTTTAATACTGAGCTATTACAAAGTTAGTCTTTGAGGGTCTTTTAATAACATGGAATACAAGGGGAAACCACAACCATCTTTTCCAGATTTTGCAATCCATATATTGCAGTAAACATTTCCTGATGTTGAAGTCAGTATTTCATTTAACATTCAAATAATAATTACAGTGGTAGCATGACAAAACTGTCAACCGAAGTTATCCAAAAGGTAACGCAATTGAAAGAATAGAGAAAATAATGAAATAGTACAACCTTGTAAAATTAGTGGAGATTGGCTTGAACAGACCCACTTACCCTGCTGTGCCTGTTTCAGAGAATTTAGTGGAAAAACTAGAAAAAGCAGCAGGACTTTATCCTTAGAAAACAGGTTTCATCATCTCACTGCCATTTATTCCCGAGCTCTGAAGATCACCTGGGAAGGAATCCCACTGGAGCATTGCAGCACACCCAAATACCTGGGAGTCACTCTGGACTGTGCTCTTACCTACAAGAAGCACTATCTGAACATCAAGCAAAAAGTGGGTGCTAGAAACAATATCATACGAAAGCTGACTGGCACAACCTGGGGATCACAACCAGATACAGTGAAGACATCTGCCCTTGCGCTATGCTACTCTGCTGCTGGAGTATGCATGCCCAGTGTGGAACACATCTCACCACACTAAAACAGTGGATGCGGCTCTTAATGAGACATGCCGCATTATCACGGGGTGTCTGCGCCCTACACCACTAGCCGGTATTGCACCACCTGACATCCGCCGGAAAGTAGCAGCCAATAGTGAAAGGACCAAGACAGAGACATCCCCAGCTCATCCCCTGTTTGGGTATCAGCCAGCACGTCAACTACTTAAATCAAAACATAGTTTTCTTAGATCTACAGAGACACTTGCTGGAACACCCCAGCAAGTGAGAGTCCAAAAGTGGCAGGCTCAAACCCAGAACCTCAACCAATGGCTGATACCAATGAGAGACTCCCCCCTGGGCACACAGAACTGGGCGACTTGGAAGGTGCTGAACAGACTGCGCTCTGGCATCGCAAGATGCAGAGCCAACCTTCAGAAATGGGGCCACAAAGTGGAATCCTCGACATGCGAGTGTGGAGAGGAGCAAACCACTGACCACCTGCTGTAATGCAACCTGAGCCCTGCTACATGCACAATGGAGGACCTTCTTGCAGCAACTCCAGAAGCACTCCAAGTGGCCAGATACTGGTCAAAGGACATTTAATCAACTATCAAACTCACAAATTTTGTATTTTGTCTGTTTGTTTGCTTTGTTCTGTTAGAAATGTAATATAATTGACTGGTTGCCCTGACATGACAAATAAATACTGCCATTTATATTATGTGTGAATGTACATAAACTCTCTTCTTGCCACAGATACTTGACAAAAGAACCGCCTTGTCAAATAATTTGTCAGTCTACACCTAAAAGTCTTTTCTGACTTTTGGCAACCCTACGTGACAATATCACAGGTTTTTCTTGGTTGATTTCATTTGGCTTACTGTTGTCTTCTGAGGATAAATGGAAAAGTTGAAGCACTGCTTTATATCATGGATGCCTGCCTTTCAATATATGTGTAAATTTAAAAGGACGAATCCTATAGCTTTGAAATCATACAGCAAATCACAATAGAGAGAATAATTGTTCCAAAGTAAAGGAGAATGATTTTTCTAACCAGGAAGCCATACTTACCCATGATCACCCAGAGGGGCAGAGAATGAATTTAATCCCTGAGATCCAACACTCAAATAAATGCACCATGTGTTGTTGAAGGCTTTCATGGCCAGAATCACAGGGTTGCTGTGAGTTTTCCAGGCTGTATGGCCATGT